AGCAAGTAGTCAAGGCGAGCTGTCCGGAGTGTGGGAACTGTTTATGACGATTAAATAAGGGTATGGGAAATCCTAAAATGCCCTGGGAAGGGAGGGAAACAGGTCCGTGACGTAGGAAGTGGTGAAGGAAGTAGTCAAGTTGAGTAGTCCGGAGTGTGGGAACTGTTTATGACGATTAGATTAAGGTATCTGCAATCCTAAAATGTTATGGGAAGGGAGGGAAGCAGGTCCGCGACGTAGGAAGTGGTGAAGGAAGTAGTCAAGGCGAGTAGTCCGGAGTGTGGGAACTGTTTATGACGATTAGATTAAGGTATCTGCAATCCTAAAATGCTATGGGAAGGAAGGAAAACAGGTCCGCGACGTAGGAAGTGGTGAAGGAAGCAGTCAAGGCGAGCTTTCCGGAGTGTGGGAACTGTTTATGACGATTAGATTAAGGGTATGGGCAATCCTAAAATACTATGGGAAGGGAGGGAAACAGGTCCGTGACGTAGGAAGTGGTGAAGCAAGTAGTCAAGGCGAGCTGTCCGGAGTGTGGGAACTGTTTATGACGATTAAATAAGGGTATGGGCAATCCTAAAATGCCCTGGGAAGGGAGGGAAACAGGTCCGTGACGTAGGAAGTGGTGAAGGAAGTAGTCAAGTTGAGTAGTCCGGAGTGTGGGAACTGTTTATGACGATTAGATTAAGGTATCTGCAATCCTAAAATGCTATGGGAATGGAGAAAAACAGGTCCGCGACGTAGAAAGTGGTAAAGGAAGTAGTCAAGACGAGCTGTCCTGAGTGTGGAAACGGTTTATGACGATTAGATTAAGGTATTTGCAATCCTAAAATGCTATGGGAAGGGAGGGAAACAGGTCCGCGACGTAGGAAGTGGTGAAGGAAGTAGTCAAGGCGAGTAGTATGGAGCGTGGGAACTGTTTATGACGATTAGATTAAGGTGTCTGCAATTCTGAAATGCTATGGGAATGGAGGGAAACAGGTCAATGACAAGGCAATGGTGTAGGACGTAGTAAAGGCGAGCCGTGTGGAGTTTGGGAATGGATTTATGTATCTCCAATACTAAGACTGCTTTCAGAGTGAACCAATGATTTTCTCCGAGCAAAGCTCGGTCCCCAGGTACTTATACTAAGCAGCCCTCGTAAATACGCCCGTGAAAAACAGCTGTTTTGCTGCTGTATAACAAAATTAGTGTTTGAATCGATTATCTTAGAGAGTAAACAAATTTACTCCCTAGTACCCTGGTCCCTAGAGAGTAAAAATGCTACTTTAGACCCGCAACGCGTGCATTAAGCTGAAAATTAATGCATGCGTTACGGGTCTAAGTAGCATTTTTACTCTCTAGAGAGTAAAAAGAGTTTTTAGTCCTTATGGAGTAAAAATCAGCTGTTGTCAACTCAGTTGTAAATTTCAATTGCAAACAAAATCGCATGTATCGATTGTAGTTAATTGTTGCCCTCGCTCATTTTCCGTCCTCGGCTTCGCCTCGTTCGTAAAACTTGAGCTCAGGTCGAAAAGAGTCATTTTAGGCCCTAGTGTTGAAATATACTTTACACCACCTTTTAAGCCTTGCATCACTCATTAAAATTTGGTAACACATTAAAATATCTTAGCAAATTTGAAAGAGCAGTAAACTTCTTTACATAATTCGGTGATAAGCAGTTTACACCAGTGGCTACTGTACATGGGTTTGTATGTTGTGTGGGGGGGGGGGGAGATCCCAAGGCTCGAAGTTTTAATCTACCACACGAGGGACCGTCTGAGATGGCTGTAGAAGAAGAACCGACCGGCTTACAGTAAGTTGTTGTCTTGTCTGGTTTGTTATATAACACCAAAGTTCTATTTTTACATTAGGTTATCATTCGAAAACAGTATTTTTCATCCTGTTCTTCATGTCTATGAATTGTGTACCGGTCATTTAAGAATAAAATTGAGTTGTGTAACCTAGGTCGTAAACGGTAATTTGATTTTAAAAGAGTCAATAGATTAAGTAGGATTAAAATGTATTAAGTTTTTGCTATAATTCTAGCTTTAAAATAGTTTACTTCGTGGTTAGCCAACATTTATATAGCAATTTTACTGTACACCCTGAATAATCTCACATTGAAGTATAGTAAACGTTATCTGTTATAGCATAGATGAAGTAATATAATTATATTACTTCATCTATGGTATTAGGTACAGAATTACCCTGGTTAAGTAGACTCTAGCATTTTAACGAAAATACTACATTTTACAATGGTAACAGCAAAGTTCAACCTTTTTTTCAAGGAATAGTTTAATTTGTAAATATTACAATTTAGTGAGCATAGTGAAATCAATTATTTTAAAATTTCGTGGTTGATAATCAATTTTTAGTTAGGTAGAGCCTGCGCCAACAGTTAGACTTTCATGAAAAAATGACTTATAATTTAAGTTATTGACAGGATAATATTTTACAGGAGGGGAATCAAAAGGGGAAACCCAGTGTAGGGCCTATACCATTGAATTTTGAGCTATAGAAACCATTAGTTTTGGGGTTTTTGTCCTTTGTGTTTATCTAAGACGGCGCCGGGCACCGTGGGCATTTTTTACATTGTTTTTGTGGGCGCGGCCCAAACTGTATTTTTTACAGACGTCAACCTGTTGTCAGATACAGATAGCATAATTAATTAAGAGACCAATTAATTAATTATTTTGAGTGGAACTTGGTCCAAAATCGACGTTTTCTCAGGATAGCTTAGGAACCCACTCTACGAGATTAAAATACATGAACAATTCATAGGGCTACGAAGAAAAACTAAGATAATCGTCAAATTCGTGATCATGAACTGTCATTACTGACCCTAACGTTTTCCATCAGTTACTTTTAAACACACCCACAGACGAATTTTCAAGAGGTAAACTTGGCTAACATTGCCTTATTCGTCTTTTTCTGTGCTCTTAAAAGCTTACATATTAACACAGACAATAGAACATTATGGTCTATTGTATGATAACAAGCAGTTTACTTGAGATTTTCGTGCGGTGCTTTATATTACATCCAAATATCATTGAAGTTTACTATAACAAACTGATCAATAATTTATTTAACTGTGAATAAAATTAAACAAATTTCTTACACTCTGCAGTAAATTTTAACACCGTAAACAAAGATGAATGTTACATAATGCCACACGTTCGGCAAATAAGATAAACCATACAGACTTCTGCAAACAACAAGTCAGATAAAATGGGACAGAAAATATTTAAACTACAATTAAATAGTTATGTCAATTAATTCTGAATGATTGTCAATCAATTAAGCTAAACTTTTTTTCTTTCTCGTATGGAGAAAGTATTGTTTTCGTCAACATTTTCGAATTTTAGTTTTGAGTGGATATATGGGTCCTTGACCCAAAAAAGTGGTTTTCGAAGTAAGTGTGTGGATGTGTACAGAGCTATAGACTATACCTGTGTCCTGTGGTCCGATTTTGATGAAATTTGGTATCTAGGTACTAAATCCATGGTACATATCACAAGTTTTTTTTTTCATTTTTATTTTTTAATGGTGATTTTTTCATGATGATTCTTCTTTTATGGAAAATTATGAGTTTGGTGTTGGTTGTTGTAAAGTGGTGTAAAAGATGGATAATTTGCTTATAGCAATTTCATACCCTAGCGTATATTTATTGAAATTTAAAAAATTAAAACTAAAATTTACTAATATGGAGAGCTGTTATTCCGTACAGGTCATAAGACTATTATAAACTACGATAGGTGTCATGCCAAATAGGTAGCAACATGAACTATTATTAAAATGAAATGACAAAATAGATGGACTTGTAGGATGGTTCAAAGGCAGAACAATAAGCAAAAAGTCTTTAGAAAACAATTGAAAATAGATTTAAAACATATTTCATTAGCATATTCTTATTTATTGTAGAAGTAACACATTAAATAAATTAAATGAGCAACAGTGGTGAATTAAAAATATTGACTACCTAAGATTCCAAATTTCATTGATTTGTAAAGTTACTTTAGGCAATTTTAACATTTTATTCATATTAATCTCAGCTCCAAAGCCTCGACTTTTTGATCCTCTGCCAGGTTTTCTAGGAGAAAAGAGAAATAAACCTCCAAAGACTACTTAAGTTCAATATTAGTTTAGACAAGGTGATAACAAACTGTGTTAAAATTTTGGCATGGTAGTACACATAAAAGCTGGTTCCAGCTCCTAAACCAGTTTTGTAATCAAATTGATCAAACAACCTTCATATCAAAGGACTCTTTAACATGTGTGCTGTGCATGGTAGCGAATTTGTCTGGAGCAACCTACAAATTATTAAAAATGACTTAAATAGGTTATACTGTAAATCCCAAAAATGGTTTTCAATTGCTTGGTACTAAAATATTCCGTACAGAAATGGGCAGTGCTCGCCTAACAATCAAAAGGTCGCCGGTTTGACCCTGAGAGGAGTCAGTAGCTTCTTGATGGTTCAAAACTGGACCCAGCTGTTCCTGATCGTTGGGCTTTAAATAAATGATCCTGGCTAATGAATCAGCTGATCTTAGTCAGTAACAAAGTTACACAGATCATCTCAATCAACTCTACACTTTGAGTTAAAATACCCACCTAGAGGGCGTCTCCATCTCATGATCAACAATTGATTGACAAAGAGAGAAAATGACAGTATACTCCCACTTGTTAAACCATGCAACTCCATTAATCATGGATAACCAAAAGCTTCATATTTCTAATTCAATTCCATGACCTTACAGTCATTTGTTATATGCACATCCATTACACATTATTACTCACACACACACACACACATTATTACTCTCGACTGTATAACAATCTTCTGAGCATAGACGACACGAGGCAAACTTGTTTATGCAACAGTCCTTAGCTTACACATTTGCAAATTATAATATCTCCTCTGACTGGAATCTTAGTTTATGACTCACTGTTGGAAGATTGCCCAATGTCACAATGGTCTACCTAACATTACCAGTTGGTTGTCGCTCGCATTCGTATTGCATTGCGTACAAGGACTGGCAGGAGTTGTGCGGATTTCCAGACAAAGGAGAATTCAGCAGAAATGTCAATAATATGGAATAGTGATTCTGTATCGTAAGTAAATTTATTTTGATGAATTCTCATTGAAGAAAAATGTGTTCTTAGGTCAGCACTAGGTTTTTGTTATTTAACTACCGGTACCTATTTACTTGATCACCTAGTAAAATTTAATCGAAAAAATTTTCTATTAAAAATAATGTTTATAATTTTATAATCATAATTTTGACTAAGAGTCAATAGTACAAGTAATGTATTAATAATCACTTATAATGTTGGTTATTCAACCAGAATTGTTTCGGTCTAGTTTACCACATATTATCAGTTGTGCATCTACTCCAGTAGGGTTTCTGTGAGGTATTTTGGTGTTGGGTTTCAAACACTTTGGATTATATCATTCCCCCTATATGGTAGATCATGTTACCCCCCACATTCGACAGGACAAGCATTTGTCATGAGGACCTAGAGACAGGAGAAGTGTTGTTTGTTTTGCCCAGTAAGTTTACAAGTCAGGAAGATGTGAGTATTTTGAAATAATTTTACTCATCTTGCTGGATAGGCTTCCTCGGTCACTTAGAATTGGGGTCTGGTGACATCCGTGTCAAAATTTACGAATCAAAATCACTTACCGTTACATCCTCAGGGCGACTTGACTCCGCACAGCAATCTTGTGACTTGTTTTGTCATCTGTACCAAGTCAAGCCTTCCTGAGGTTGTCACCATCTAGCAGGCTTAGATAGTGGGAACTTCATTATTCCTAGCAACCGTGGCAAACAATAAACTTGTTCAAAATAAAAGTTCAATTATGGTTCCAAATATTGTTTTAGTATAAAACACAAGCAACCAAAAGCGGGCCGTGTGATTTTACCAATATCCAGCACTGACTACCATTTAGGTTTTATAAGGACGGGGGACAGTGTCGGACTGTTGTTCTCGTATAATAGAAGAATGTCTAGATCTGGTCCTGTACGTGTGTTTACTAATCACAACGTTAAACGTATATATTGAAATATAAACATTCTTGATGTGTCAGTTATGAGGATATATTTAAAGTTTTTTGTAGTATACCTGATTATCTAGCTCAATATAGATCTTTATTTATACCTAACTGTTGAAACTTTTATCAAATTAAATATTAATGAGATGGTTTTTTTCAGGCCCTTGAAACCTATATCTAAAGAAAGTGAAAAAGCTTCAGATCCATCCTTTAAAGATGTGTATCCCCAGGTATGTAAAATTATAGTTTTATTTACGTATTTCAATGCGTTAGCATTTTTTATGTTTCTTTTAAGGGCATGCTATAAATAAGTAAACTAAAAAGGTGTGTATGGATTCTTATCATGTTTAAAGCTTTGATCCCTATGACACGATTAAAAAGGAATAGTTTGCTTGATTTCTTCAGTTCCTAAAGGTTACACCAGCATAGATCGATAAAAAATCAAAATACCTGGAGCACTGTCAGTAAATACAGTATGGTAAAATACCTGTGTACCAGAAATTTGGCGCTCTGGTTTTTGGTGGGACGACCAATACATTTAACCCTTTAATACTTTTTACTACTATTTCATTCTTTTTACTATTAATCCTATTTAATTCCTTTATTATTACTATTAATACTATTTAATAATTAATACTATTTCATCCTTTACTTACTATTTAATCCTTACACCAAAATATTTTATGTTCCCCAAAGTATCTCAATGAAAATAAATAAAGGGGAATGAAATTATTAGGGAATTTAAAGTGGAGAGAATAGTTTTAGGCTTGATGTAATGGAACTGAATAGAGATTACCATGAATAATTAATTATATCTTACCAATCTTGAATTTAGTCTTGAGGTTAATATTGTCGAAGAATGAGAAAGTCCTTTATATAACTTTAAAATACAATTACATAATCTATAGAGAAAATCACCAACAAATAAATGCAAAATGAAATAGGAAAAAACTGTGATGTATTTCTTGACCATTTTGAACAACATTAATATTATCAAAACAATAATCACATGTAGTAAAATTGAAAACCCCAAAACATGTGTTGGAGACAGACTAAAATAAAATAAACCATAGAATACTAAACATGTGTTGGAGACAGACTAAAATAAAATAAACCATAGAATACTAAACATGTGTTGGAGACAGACTAAAATAAAATAAACCATAGAATACTAAACAGGGAATCTTCTAAGTACATTACATGCAGTAGCTCATACATCTGTTCTTTTTTGTTAAAATAAATGGCTACAGCTGGCCCAATCGATCAAAATTGTTTAGCAGTCGAGAAAAATAACTTGTTTGCAAACGCCAAATACATAGTATTACGTATATCTAGAAAAGATGTCTAGTTCTGTATCCAAAGTCAATGATTCTATCTACCACCATCATTACACTTGCTACAATGAACCTTATGTTTGGCAGGTGGTCATCGTGTGTATCCTTCACTCAGTGTTCATGCAGACAGGCATCAACGTGTCGTACTCTGCGACCACCCTTCCTCAGCTATTGGAGGAAGGCTCTAGTCTACGAGTGACCGAGGATCAGGCGTCCTGGATAGGTGAGGAAGTACAAAGATTTACCAGCTAGAAATACATTTGTCTTTGAATGACCAATGGATGGGTATCCTGCAAGATTAATGTACGAGCTATAAGCCTTTGTGTAGTTTTGTACGATTATTAAGGTCTACATTGAGCTTTCAACGAGGCCAAAGCGAGCTACTTTAAATCTGAGTCTAACGACATCTGCTTTATATCATTCTTGACTACTCTAGCAACACTTATCATCAATTTACATAAACCTCTGCAACTGGCAACGTATTTCAATAGCTTAACCCCCTTTCTAGACTCTACAGAAATCCAATTGCAGAACACGATTCACACTTGGTGGGAGTGTAGATTTTCTCTCACATCGTTTTCTGTTTCAATGACAAGACTAATTGTAGAATAGGTTATTGGAATTGGGTAGAATCGTGAAACCCAGGCTTGATGTCGTCATCAACGAACATGCTAATGCAGTCTCTAGACACAACTTCTGTCTGATCACAATATATCCCACTTACCTACAGTTTACAGTATTTTCTTCACGTTTTTGTCATTAAATATTTGTGATTTTGAATGTCTATGTGCGTATTTTATTTCATATTAATTTTGACAACCTTTGAATTAAGAGATAAGATGACATCTGTACTAGCCTGATGACTCCAGTGTTGAGTCTAAACTAGTTGCCACAACACAACATCAAAGATGATACAATGCAATTATTTACTAATTTATAGTGTGATCTAAAAAACTCAATAAGATTAATTATCAATTAATTTGATTTGTGTCCACGTTAATTGCATTTTAGTGATCCAAGAGCCTCTAACAGGTGATAATAATCGATGAATACAGATTGTATTTTTTTCACAGTTGTGAACAATTTCCGTTTTTTTTCTGTCTAGCCAGCCTGGTAGCCATAGCCACCTTAGTGGGCTCCCTAGCCTGTGGGGTTCCCATGGATGTTTACGGTCGTAAGGCTACAGCTATCATCACCTGCCTACCCATCAGTCTCGGATGGGTCTTGTTAGCATTTACACCCAACAATGTATGGATCGTCTACATTGCCAGAGTCCTCACTGGGTTGGGTGGAGGTAAGCGTCACACTTTAAAATAATTATGTTTTTCCAATATAAGTTTTACAAAATTTGATTTGCACACATTTAAGCTGAGTGTATTTTTTTGGATAGTAAAAACTGTAAACCAATTAACTAGGATGATTTGTTTGGCAAAATCAATGTGACATGACTTTTTAACAATGTTTTCGCATAATAGTACTATTTTTTTTATTACTGAAACTCATATTATGATGACAGGATAGATGTAGTGAGGGGAGGAATTTCCTGAGAAAAACACGTAAAATCAAAGCATGGTCAAAGCGTTCTGCAGACATCCAGTGTACATCCACATTTTATACAAAATTACTTATAATATATCATAAAGCAGGTGGTAGGCAATGATATGGAAGTTTCACAATTTTTTTCATCCAATTAACACATGGTCTTCCTTGAAGGTACAGCTAATGATGCCAAAAATTACGATGTTACAACACGCCCTATATTACAATGATGCAGATAATGATCTATTATGCTTGCATTGATTGTAAAGGCAGAGCTGATGAATGTGTAGATTATTATGGCATAGGTTATAATCATACAGCTAATGATGACATATATTATAATGGCATAGTTTATGATGCTCAGGTATGACAACCGTCTGCCTTGTATACATCGGAGAGATCTGTCACCAGCAGTTCCGGCCGATGCTGTTGTCTCTCAACAGTGCCTTTGTGAGTCTTGGCATCGTAGTTACCAACATTCTTGGGGTGTACCTGCACTGGCGCACAGTGGCGTTCTGTTCTGGGATGTTCAGTGTGGCTACTTTACTGGGTGAGTGACCAATGACTCACTATCCTAGCGTTAGGTACTACAGCTTTATATAATTTCATATAGTGTATTTTTTATGTGTGTAGGTAGTTTTTATACTTTGTTCTATATTTTGTTTTCATTTTTCAAATTCCAGCTGCAGTAGAATCTTTAACACTAACAATAAGTTTATTTTTCAGGTATCTGGTTGTACTGTCCAGAAAGTCCACAATGGATCATCACATATCAGCCAGACAATCTCAGTGAAGCCAAGAAATCACTGGACAGACTCTACACCAACAAGGCTGTGAGGACTTGTAAAATATTTATACACAATTTGAAACATTACCATTAACAACTGTACAGTAGAGTAACATCTACAACCAAGATTTACATTTGACCTTTGACAAATAAGTTACTACTCTAAAAAAGTTATAAGCTTAAAAAAAGGAATTATGCCCACTTTGAAGATTTTATGATTTTTATAATTACTAACAGTTTTGTGTTAGCTTATGTTTTATAAAACCTAAAAATAGTATTTGACAAGTGAATATGTTATGTGCACCAAGAACATAGTTGTAACTACGAGGGTTATTCAGAAAGTAAGGAACTTTTCCGTCTTACACCAGTAGGTGAATGCTAATTGCACAGTTTCTAGTGCAGACATGTGTTTGTCTTCTCAATGACTATCAGCCGTCATATTGGAGCTCTTGTTTTGCTGACTGTTGTTTCAGTATTACATTTTAAAAAAGTGTCCTGCTAGGTGTGAGGCGCTAGCTGTAATGCACATTTTGATGGCCATAAACTATAAACTGAAAGACATTTCTCGGCAAGTTTACGGAAACAACGCAATAAACTTAAGTTCTGTCCTGGAATGGGGCATTCAGTCTCATAATGGCCAAATTAAAGTTGACGTCCAAATTTCATGCCCAACCTCACACACAAATCACATACAAGATCTCCCCCATTTATTCAAATGGTAGATATTCCCACAAACCTCCCTGGTTCATGCTTCTTTCTTTTGTTTACAAAAATTAAGACATGGTTAACAGCACAGTGCTTTGATGACAAGTAACTCCAACTGTGTAGCACCGGGTGGTAGAGCTTGCACGACTTTTAAGAAGAATAGAATTCTACGACTGAGGATCTTCAAAACTTGTTCAAGACTATGATAAGTGCTTTAAGTTGTTGGGCGACTATAAAGAAAAGTAGTACAGTCTTTTAAATGCTCTTTTAAACGTGGTGTTTGGTGAGTCGGTGGTTCAGTTGGTAGCGTCACAGACTTTGGGCCCATGGCAGCGATGTGGGTTCGGATCCCGGCCACAGCCACAAACATTTTATCAGTAAAGTTCACCTTCATACTGTACCGGCTCACCCCTTGCTTTGCTGGATACGTTCCACGGACAGATCTGTAGTCTATGTGGACGGGCAAATGCAAGGTTAAGAGAGGTCACCAACCTCTTTAACATTCCTTAATTCCTAAATAGCCTTCGTTTAAGCATGCAAAACTAGTATTAGATAAATCAAAAGTATCACACAAAATATAATAGAATCTGTATGGTTACCGTACTCTTACATATTAATAGACTAATCCTCTATAATTCTTCTGCCAAAGTTGTGGCTGGAACGTATAAAGATAATTTACAAAGTAATTAATTAAGAAGAAATTAATTATTATTGAAATTAAATGAAATAATTCATCATTCATTTAATTTAATTTATTATTGTTACTTTTGCACTATTTGTGCGATGCTGTTTACGTCACCTGCAAAATACCTTGTCTAAAAATTTTAAATCTGAGGTTTTCATTACAAAACTGCTACTAGCAAGGAAAATACTTCATTTCTATATTCCAACTGCAATATCAGTAAAACCTAACTTTGTTATATCAAATGTATTCTGTTTGTTTCAGTTTGCCCAGACAGAATATAACAGACTCCTAGATTCTCATCAGGCGCGGCAAGTCAACAAACAACCAAGTTCAAACTTCCTCAAAGAAGTCTTCAAGGGTCAAAACCTGATCCCGCTTCTAGTCCTGACTACGATCTTCCTATTCCAACAACTCTGTGGATCATATCCGATATTTTTCTACGCTGTCAATCTGTTCGAGTCTATCGGAACGAGTGTAGACAAGTACGAAGCTTTGATTCTGCTTGGAGTGGCAAGACTGATCATCAGTTTTGTTACTGCAATGGCCTCCAAGAAGATCGGAAGAAGGCCTTTAATGATTGCTTCTGGTATTGGTATGACTGTGAGCAGCGTTGTTGTTGCAGTCTTCTTCAGTCAGAGACCTTATGAGGGTCTTTTCGCTCATGCAGGTAACCAAACCGATCTCACGACTGTGACCAATGCAGACCCATACTCTTGGGTTGGAGCTGCCTCGATTCTCATCTACGTAAGCATGACCGCTTTCGGGTTTCTCATCATTCCTTGGAGTCTAATCGGAGAGCTTTTACCAATGTCCATACGAGGCAATGGAAGTGGTTTCATCATATGTTTTACTCACATAATCATGTTCGGCGCAGTAAAATATTTCCCACATTTTCTAGATGTGTTCAAAATTTCTGGGGCATTTTACTTTTTCTGTTTTATCTCCGTCTCGGGAACAGTCTTTGTGTATTATTTCCTTCCGGAAACTCTAGGTAAAAGTTTCGATGATATAGGAAAACATTTTGAGTCCTTAAGGAAAGGAAGGCGTACATTGGCTGTGTAAGTTTTCTAGTCAACAAACTAGTCAACAAGAAGTTGAGTAATATTTGAATTAGTTGTAAGAGGAGATTTTTATTGATTTCTTAAGACTGATGAGGATTATGTTTATTCTTCAACTAGCAAAGTAAGCGTATTTTAGCTGAAATAACAGGTTAAAACACAAACAGAAATACTTCGTTACAGCAATAAGGACTTGGTGATTTTCTGACTTTTTTTAAAACACAGCATCCTCTACATCAAGGGAAACTTAGAAAGTAGCTTTTCTGTGATGCTTGTTTACAAACTATTTATTTTCTTTTAACAATTGGTATGTATGGACAATTTCTAATGATTACCGTGGAACTTAAGAATAATAATAAAAGAACTTTGAATAGTAATACTTTTAAAAACTAATTATAACAATTATTTGCACAGAGAATTAAACTATAGAGGAGACATTCATTGGTACAATTAAGGGTGTCTAGTATTGGTCTCTGGTGTCTAGGATCACACCACCCCTTTGCCATCATGTACTACAACGCTAACGGTGGATGAAGCCCCTGTGCCCTGTGCAATAGGAATTTCCGCAAAGTGCTTGCCACACAGAATCTTCCTTGCTCGTCACAAGTATATTTCTGGCACAACATACCATAGCTGAAAGCGAACGGTCATCCCATAAGTGTGTTCCTCTGTACCTTACTGCTCTGTCCAATTAGTTATATCGAAATTGTGTCATCTACAAAAAAATATATATATTTCATAACAAGATTAGAAAGTGAGTCATTACTTATTTGAGATCATGTTTGAAGTAAGAGATTTATCAAGCACTTATGGTCGAGAATATGTATAGACTCTCTTCCACTTGTTTTTTTTTTAGCGTTACTTTTCACTACACCACAAAGATAGTTTTTTCGTAGTTAAAACAGACATTGGATATTTCTTTATTACAGTTAGGAACATTACTAAACATACTCATAGCATTTTTTAGGTTATTATTCCTTCAATTTAAAGTTAATACTTATATTAATTGTACAGTTTTGGTTGTTGCTAATTGAAACAGTTGACAAAAAACAAATCTTTGTTTGTTTATGTCGGCAAAATTAAAAAAAGATAGTAAACATTACTTTCACATAGTGTTAGTATATTTCGTACCTAGGGCCGAAAATGAGGTTTTGCCGGTTCGAGATAGTTTTAAAACGATCGAGAGCTGCAAAACCAATTGGGTCTGTGGTATGAACGGTATTTCTCACCACACTATACCCTATTACCACTATTCACCAAAATAATAATGCACACTGATAGTCAACACAACTACAACTTTAAGGTTATGTGAAGAAATAAGTAGAGGAATCAGCAAAAATAATAATAAATAGTTGCTAGGCAGCGTTGACAATAAAACAATTCTATTGCAATACTATGGGTACTGATTGTGATTAATATGCATTCATGTTTTAAGAAAGTAAGCGGGCAGCTGATTTTGCGGCCCTAGGGATGTAAAAACCTGCTCGGTCCCCAAATGACAATGACAGCTGGCATGGCCATTAATAGTATATTTCGTACCTAGGGCCGAAAATGAGGTTTTGCCGGCTCGAGATAGTTTTTAAGTTCGAGACGAAGTCGAGAACTTAAATCGATCGAGAGCTGCAAAACCATTTCTGCCCGTGGTACGAACGCCATTTTTCACCACACTATACCCTATTACCACTATTCACCACTATAATAATGCACACTGATAGTCAACACAACTACAACATTAATAAGGTTATGTAAAGAAATAATTTGAGGAATCAGCAAAAATAAAAATAAATAGTTGCTAGGCAACGGCGACAATAACACAATTCTATTGCAATGCTATGGATTTTGATTGTGTATTTAAAATGCATTCATGTTTTAAGTAAGCGGACAGCTGATTTTGCGGCCCCGGCCTGTAAAAACCTGCTCGGTCCCCAAATTTCGATGACAGCTGGCATGGCCAGCAAAACGTAACTTTCAGCCACCAATTAACGTATGTAATACAGCCAAAAACATCATAGTGTGGTGAAAAATGTATGTTCATCCACCTATTAACGTATCTAAAACAGCTAAAAACATCATAGTGTGGTGAAAACATTTGTTTGTGTAGTAAACAATGAAATGAGGAATTTTTGCAGGTGATAAACATAAACAAAAACGGGTAATTTCACAGGGTAGCGGAAAAATATTACTAATAGCAAACATTTATAAGAAAATGTAGTAATACTGTATGTACACTCTTCTTCCTAATGAATACTTTGAATAGTAATACTTTTAATTACTTTTTCTAATAACTCTATAGGGTACCGGGTTAAGGCAAACCTTATTAATGCAAGCACAATGTGGTCTAAACAAAAACAACTTTCAATGTTTTTATATTTTTAACAATTTAAAAATTAAAGAAATAAGCCTGTTTTTATATTTCTCTGTTAATATTTGTTTAGGTTATGTCCTTTTATGTCTATTTTAATAAAATAAAATAGGATTTTATGTTTGTTTTATATGATTTATTTTAACACGATATGTCCATATTTAACTTGTATAAAAGAAAAAAAATTAAATCTGTGTCCTTCTCTATAGTAATGTAAAAAGGGGCAAACCTGGTGTGTGCAATCCCTATTAAACTCAATAATGCCGTCAACTTCCACCCCAGCCGGACACCATTTCTTTAATGTGGGTATCTCTCACCAACTAAAACACACATTGTTGAGCTTAGTATGGATCCACGGGATTCGAACCCACGCATGTATAAAAGGAACTCGTCTGTGTAACGCCTAGCCATCTGAGCTAACATGCCACTGACAGCCGAATGCTACAAGTGTTGCTATAAGCACACTAGTGCTCTTAGGTGAGATACAATGAACTAATGCCACGAGCTACACACGGGCTTAGGTTTTTTAAAGTGTTAATACAAGCTGAATCTTTACCTACTAGCTTTGTTTTTAACTACTTAACAATTTTCAGGCATCAAACAAACTATTGTTTGGCTTAGTGAGGTTTGTCTGTCCATGTAACATTGACAAATTTGACAAATTGACAAAGGTAAAAATTAAATTAGGTTTTAAGTAAAAACATCTCATCAACAATATTGCTACAAGAATTTAGTACTTTTCGATTCTTTTTCTTTTGCTAAGTATACTTTGTATATTAGTGTTAAACATTTTATACAGTAAAAAGATCTGAACCAAAACAAGCTTTGTATTTTATCCTCCTTCATATAACAAAAAACAGTTTTGATTGTTTCCTACATCAAACAAGGTTAAGCTTTGAAAACGAATTGATTTTAAAACAAACTATGTCCTTTGAACAAACTTTTAAAAAATTGAGACAGGTAATTAGGAGAAAATCCACTTCAACAATGTGAGAATGTGTGGTGCTGGGCATATACTCTGACGGACAATAAGATACAAGACGTTATAATTGACCAACTTCCAATGATGTTGCTACTTGAATCAAAGCTGATGATGGCTGCCCAGTTGGCAACCCAGACTTTGTATACATAAAAATTGGAGCTCCAGAAATTTTTGATAGCACCCCACTCTTCGCGATTGGATCCGATGGCCTATTGTTTACTTTTCCCGTGCAAGGAACCGAGTTTTGTTTAGGGGATGTCTCAAATCAAAGAAAGAGCTTCTGCTAAAAGAAATAAAGTGACCCAACTTCAATTTGCTACACACAGATTATTGCTAAGGCGACAATTTGTCATCAGTTCTTCATACTGTAAAAGCTCTGTTTTTCTAGACAGGCTTGAAGTTAAACGTTATAAATTGAAAGCTTTCAAATAAAAACTTTAATAAAACAAAGTCTTTGCTTTGATGAGAAATTTGAAAGCTCATTCAATGCTTGAATTCTTTGAAAGCTTCATTCATGTTTGACTAGTTTAGCTCGTTCTTCTTTTATGTTCTCATAAAACTGAACATATTTCTGTGGGATACAGGACACAAGTAGTCACATGTAGTCTTTGTGGACGCCCAAATGCAAGATTAAAAAAGGCCGCCAACCTCTTAAAAAAATCTGGATGAGATAGAGGTTTCAAAGTGAAACTGAAATAATATTTGATAGAGGAGATTTATTCATTTAACAAATAGAAGATCTACCAATCACGATGATTGTAGACTACTAAGTATTCTGCTGCACATGTTACACACATGTTACATGCTGCCTATGTTTCATTCTTGTTGCATGCATATCCTTTAGGTTTCAGTAGAAACAGAAATATTTAATGGTTGTTTTGAGTCTCCTTAGTTCTTTTACTTTTTGTATGTGATGCATTTAATTTTTATTTTAATACTATCTTGGAAATTTTTTCAAGTAGAATAAACACAGAACTAAAAGCAAATAAACTAAAAGTTTATATTCCATAAGTTAGTTTCTTTAAACAGCAGATGATTATTAATGACAGTGTAGTTTTATGACACTTCCATTATAATTAATTAGGTATATTATCCATGAAATATTGAAAAACAAAATTGTTACAAGATAAAAATTAACTTTTAGATCTATCTAGACATGGTCAGGTTTCAATCTAATAAACTAATCCATCTATAGTTTTACTATAAAAAATATATTACAAAATACATTAAAAAATACAGATAGCACATTCACAAACTCACAAAAACAATATCACTGCGGCAGTTGTAGTACTGATGGGTCAAATGGTTGGCCTTGAAACGGAGATCCTTGAGCATTCCACGCTTTCTTGAGAATATCAATTTTCTCCTGAAAGCACAATAAAAATTATAATTTGTTGTCATTTCTAATAGAATGCATTTTAATTACCAGCTGATCGTATGATAGACATCATCATCATCGTCTTGTCTCCCATGGTTGCAACCAAGAAAAAAAAATTTGAGGCCTCAAGTAAGTGAGGCCCCCGGCAACCGCTGTTAGGAAAATACGGCCCTGCTTGGGACCAGACAATTTTCGATTCTGAATTATCGCCAATGACGTTAGCTAATCCCTGTAATGACCACACACCGCGTCAATGACCGTTTGTCGTCTTTTTCCGTCGTTCTGTAAAGTGAAAAATATTGTGATTGCCATTCATCATTACAATGAAGCCCAACTCACAGGAGTTGCTGTGATTGTAATAAATCCAAGGGCGGTCCCAGGGCGGGTCAGGGGGGTCATGACCCCCCCAAAATATTTTTTATATACAGGGTGGGGCAATGAGAACGCCACAATTTGTTTTAGCTGTCACATGTTAATTGTTGCAACAACGAATGATCAGCTGTGCTTAAAGCATCAATTAAACTATGCCATTTTAGTAAATATTATGCCCGAGGTTATTAACACTGAGATTTTGATGTGCAAACCTATTTTTAAAGTAGTGGTTCTTGTGCAAAAACCTAGAGATTGTTTGGACCACATTCCATCCTTGGTCAACATGGCACTGTTCCAGATTGGAAAACAATGGTGAACTGGGTAAAATTATTTAGGATAAACGCTTAAACCTTAAAAATGATCGGTGGGTGCCGCAAAACTCTTTGTACACCAGCAAAAGTTGAAAGAGTGCGAGTCGCAGTAACTCAAAGTCCAAAGAGATTTGCCAGGAGGCTGTTGTTGTTAAAAGCTTTACGTTGGCTCCTTTTTTTGGAAGGGGGGGGGGGTTTCTAATAAGCTACTTGAAGTTCGAGGTTTTTCAAAGTCACCCCACAGATTTGCTTGAACCGAAGCTAAGAATTGTCCAAAAACTAAAGTTATTCCTGAAGAAATGCTGGAGGAGTATTTGATGGATTTTTCAAGTGCCTAGTGTCTAGAAGGACAAGGACGTCACTTGCAGGATTTCGTTCTCAAGAAATGGAAAAATGACTTTGTTAAGTTAAAATGGCAAAAGATAAGCTGTGTTTTGATGTGCTATTTATATCCATAGGGTGAATATTATTGAGTTTGTACTGCTTATAAATTGGGGCGGTTTCATTGCCCCACCCTGTATATAAACTATTATACCAGGGGAACTTTAATAATTTTTATTGCAAATCGTTCTGCCAAATTGAAATTTATTGTAGTCTTTACACTTGTGGCGAATGAAAGGACTAATTACAATCTCTAACCTAAAACTCATCGTTCGAGTCTGACTGTTTTTTTGTACGTTATGAAAAGTAGGGATGATCGGCAGACGACGGACGCTTTCAGCCTATACAGCAACGGCAGTGTCCAATGCTGACATTCGACGTTCGGCCGCATTCTTCTTCTTATTTATTTTTTCGGTATTTAATGTTATCATTCATTTTAACATAGATTGAAAACTTGAATTGGGCTTGGGTATTGGATAAAGAAAAGAAGTACGTAAAGAGGAAAACGTAGCGAACGAACTTCAACCAGGACGTGATTGAGCCATGCGAACGAGATCATCTTGAAAATTAAGAAGTTAAACGGGGCAAAGCCCGCGGGTTACAGCTAGTATCATATATAAGAATACCACAACCCAATTGGCATGTTGCTAGCCATAAAACAACAAAATGGTAGTGTCTCAGACTTAGATGTGGAAGGGACAGATTTAATTCCCAGCACAACCACAAAATAGTTGCACAAAAACTTTATTCTCACGTTGACCCCTTGTAAAATGCCACTGGCACTGGCGTAGAAAAAGTGAGAACACTGAGAACCAATTCTCCAGACGGTAGCAGTGACGGGACGCCGACGGCAACGTTAGTTGGATATGGATAGTGTACTTTGTGTAGGTTAACTGTTGCTTGCTGGGCAGGGATAATGCAGTCGTTTTGGGACCAAGTTCTTAAACACTTCTTAGATAAAATAATTTCTCTGGTTCGAAATCTTGGTCTGATTTTGGACATTTTCCGTTTAGCATGCACATTGGCACCAGTTGAAAGCATGGTGGAAGGAAAATACATTGAAAGGGTGTTTTCGAAAATCAATAATGCTTGAATGTGTTGTAATGTTGCGGTATTCCTTTGATATTAAAACCCCAAGTCTAAATAATGAAAAAACATGACATTATACAAGTTTATTTTTAGACATTTCTTTGACGTTTAAATAAACTGGGAAGCTTGAACACATTAAACTAGGTCCCCAAAATAGCTTCAAAGCCACTCGTTTTAGCACGTTATTTCCAATTTTTTTCCCGTAGCCCCTCCTATGCTGGACCCCCGGTGACCCCCCAAAATTTATGTCTAGGACCGCCCTTGAATAAATCATTACAACTGTTTGCTCAACGTGAGAGATGACGAATATTGCTGCAGTCAGATACAATTAACAAAGTTGTTTCTACGACCACGGCAGACGATTTTAAGTGTTGCTGCCATGGTAAGGAATTATCACAAATGTTGCCGTGATCATAGGAAATTATCTTGGATGTGCCTGCGAATTATCGGGAACTATGCGGAAATTATCGTGTTACATGATTACTCGGTACAGAAATAGATTTCACAAATAAATGAGGAATCAAATGCTCAAAACATTAGACACAGGAAGACTCCCTTTCATAAATTATTGCAATACAAAGTTAACCGACTCTGATAAGGGACTAATAAATACTAAACCAGAATTACAAGATTGTATTTTCCTAACTTAAATTGATCAAACTCAATGGTCATTGGTTGCTGTGAGGGGAAGATCTTAATGACAAGAATAATGTATCATATACAGTAGAGTCCCGCAAACTCGTCACTCGATAACCCCGGTAGTCTGGATAGCTTGGCCATCACCTGGCTCAGAAAATTAGTAATTTTTGAGTCTGAGTTAAACGTGGACTCAAGACAGCTCAAGTAAAATCATTTGCAACTTGTACCTACCAAGGATTTGTCGTACTGACTTGTAATATAAATATTAAAGACGGTTAAAAAGCTTAGAAATTGTAGTGTTCTTATTTTTAAACCTAGTTCCCTATAACCCGGCATTTCACAAACTCAGCACCCTTCCAGTCCACATTATGCCGAGTTTGCGGGACTCTACTGCATATACTTTTTTCAATGAATGTTATTTGTCTGATATAATAGTGATCAAATATTTTAAAGCCCTAACTAATTATCTGGATACTGTCCCTATGTTTACCTGGTGTTCTGGGGGTAAAATGCCAAGGCGTTTGTTTTCCTCTCTAACTAAAATCTTCTCAACCTGTAAAATACATAGTTTTACAATACGGTAAAATAAATATTTAAAAAAAGATTTAAAATAAATACTTTTGATACCAGCAGGAGCAACCTTGATCCTTATGTCAAGTAAATGTTTGTGTTCTTTAAACCATCAACAAGGTTATGCTGTGGATTAAACCTGAACTAGGAGTTTTTTGACAATGCTTATGAATGCTTGAGTTCTGTTCAAACATGTCAGTCTAACATGATGTCCCTTTAAGGGAGCTCGTCTAGTGGTAGAGCATGGAGCTTCATTGCCTGAGGTCCCGGGTTTAATTCTTCCCAACTATATGTGATAATGCCGCAACCCTCTAGGACTAGCCTGAAGTAATGTGTAAAACAATTCCGATAGCGTCCTAGGATGTGAAGGTGGGACATAAAATAAATAAGAAAAACACCCTTTAGTAGGCCCTACAGGGTGAGGTAGTAAAACGGCACGATTCCAAAACCAGCTGACAAGGAATTGAGGGCTATTAGAGTACGGTGGAAATGGCCATAGGTGTCTAGACAAGTGGGAATTTAAGTAGCAATGTAACGTTGGACGAGTGCACAACACACGTTTGCTGTAAAGGCATATTACAAATAACGTGGATATTAAGGTTTGTGCTCAGTGCAGGGGTGCCCATCCCCCCCAAAGCTCACGTCTCAGAATCCCCCCCAAATTCGTTGGTTAACCCATGCCGGAAGGTCTGGGGGCTAACCCATAGTTATGTTTATAATGGGGGGAGGGAAGGGGTGCCCCCGACACTTCTTTAAATTTATGGGAATTTAAGCGTTTGAATCAAACTTTTAACCCAATTTAATTTATTTATTTTGTACTAAGCTATCAGTATTTTACAAAAAAACACACTTTATTAGTTTCCTTGTAGCAGGAAACCTAGGTACTCGTTAAACCTAATGTTATTAAAATATATTTAATTGAAAATCAATTAAGACAAATGGAAATTCGCTTAGTCGGCAGGTTTGCTGCGGCGGAGGTATATTTTTTAAATGAATTAATTGTTATTTTTCAAAATCATGCCGTTTCACTTCCTCACCCTGTATTACAACTGCTTATTTTTGCCACCATATTTATATGAGCTATGAAAAAAGTACTTGGGCCTCCTATATTCAGCATTTTTTAGGACTTAGATTCATGAGAATGAGATTTTATTTGCCAGTTAATATTTCATACAAATCTTGACATATAATCTTCTATTGAGTAAATGGCGGATTACAAAGATTGTTATTTATTTTAGTCTTAAAATTTCTGGAAAATTAGCACAATAAATTTTAAAATTGTTAAGTTAGTTTTGATCTTGGTCAGAAGTATATATAACAGTACTCCACCCAAACCTGCGCAATAACCAAAATTTATCCATCAATAGACGTAAAATTCAAATCATTGAGCACTTAGTTCAATGAACCTTACTTGTTGTCAAATACACACCTTTTTCAAATCCCGATAATAACAAATTTAATAGGTGTGAAAGTGAAATAGCAAGTATAATATATTATAATGAATAATAATACTCTAATCACAATAGTTTCAAACATAAAGTTTTTTCCCCATCAATATATTTGTCAAGTACTTCTTATGTTTGGTGTAATTAAAATTTACCTGCATTTTATCATCCTCTTGTAGCTCATTAATATGTCTGGTTGTATCAAATTTAGTTGTGTCCAATTTATCTTCAGTTTTAAAAATACTGTCCCACCATTGCTCATTCGCCTTTTCAAGATGAATCTGTGAACAGTTGCGTTTTAGAGTAACAGTATTATATTTTATCAAAGTTTTGTTGTTGCTGCTGTTTTCATTAAACAATACCTACATACATATAGCCAACTTGCCCCTGGGTAAGAATCACAAATAATCTGTAAATGTTACTATGATCTTTTATATTCACACTTAAAACGGTGCTATTGACTTTGGACTAAAGTAAACATCCGATCTATTGTGAGTGCTTCCACAAAAAAGTTGGTATATATCCTCAAAGGTTTTGCCTATAATTATTCATACCCTTTTAAGAATTGATGGAAATCTGAACCCTTAACATTATAAGACGGATGTTGACTTACGGTAACATGTTTCCCCGGGGTCAGTGTCCAGATGGACTCCTCACGTAGGTGTTTGTAGTTGAGCTCTCCCTCCACCAGAGTGTTCATACGTCCTTCGTGGTCCCTACAAGATACAGTCACCCGTGTAGAACCCACTTCCACCGTGACACCTTTACTGCTGGTTAGCCAATTTGGGACAGGCACCTAGACATAGACATAGACATACTTTATTTGCACAAAACATTCCATACATGTCATAACATTTATAATAGGTGCATTATCAAAATTAAATCCATACATAAAATATTTAACACTAGCAACAGTGCCCGTTGTGGTTAAATACAACGGTCTCTAGTAAAATAATGGTTATGAAATCCACACACCACTTTACTCACTAATAAAGCTAATATTAATGGTACAGTTTAAGCACATAACATTAGAATCACACATTTAACATAAGGAACACACTTTAAACATATGCAAATTGTTAACAACAACATTTATAAAGAAAAATTTATTAGATAACAATATAACAATAAGCTGTTGAATTATTAACACATGTTTCGTATAATTAGATTATGCATACTGGTAAACCAATTATTGCCATCTATAAAAATAATTGGTTTTTTTCCGAGTCGGGTTAGCTCTTCTACCCGTCCGATTTTCATAATTTGGGCCTTAAACTAAAGGTATGGACGTACATTTGCCATCAAGCATCGGCATTCATTTTGCCGTATATTTCGAGCTATGCACAAACTGGCGATGGTTTACAGGAGGGCTCTTCTACCTGCCCGATTTTCATAATTTTGGTCTTAAAATAAAGCTATGCAAGCACATATTTGTCATCAAGCATCATCATTAATTTATCTCATGTATTACTCAACGAAAGAATTTTTTCTCTTCAATTGAAGATGTATTTCAGCAGTTTTAATTACATTATACATTTTGGTCTAAAAACATTAAGTGAAATACCAGCTCTTTCATTTGAGCTATTGATTATTAAGATCGGACTACCTAAAGCACACTGCTGAATCACGAATCAACAATAAATACAATCGTTTTAGTAACTATCTGCAATCAATGATACGTAACTCTATTTTTATTTAAGTCATTTTATATGTCTTTGTCTTAAAATACTTCAAAGGCTTTCACTTGAGATATTGATAGTTTTAATCAGTTAAGTTCAAGATACTGTATCGCTCGATCAGAAAATATAAATTTGATTATATCTTGGATATGGAATTTAGTTTTAGATACATTTACTTAATTCTAATTACGTTAATCTATTTGTTTTGACCTAAGAACTTTCATTGAAATACCAGCTTCCATTTCATTAAAGCAAACAGCTAAATCACGACCAAAACAAATTGTTCAAAAAATGGAGTTATTTATCATCGATTTATAGCCAAACGATCTTGCTTGCAACCTCAACAGTACTTTCATAATTGTTTGCAAACCTTCACAAATTAGGCTATCCAATGACCTATTAATTAATCAAATCGGTTCAGTAGAACTGTAGATTTAATTGTACAAAGTTTAACAACAACATCTTTAATTCAGTATTTTCTCACTACTACAAACCTGGAGGTTGCTTAACGTTTTTGCAAATAACTTTAAAACGGCGAGGAAATCGACCAAAGTGGAAGGTGATATTCTGAAAGAGAATAAAATTTCCTACAAATTACTATTATTAATTTCTTGAATATACTCAATAAAGGCAGCCTAAAGTTGGTTACAAATATAAAATTGAAAATATAAACCTGGAATAAAAGGAGTTTTAAATGTATTATTTTTTATTTTTTTACCTTAAATATCTAATAAAATCAAACTTTCATAATTATTTGCAAATCTACACAAATTAGGCTTTCCAACGACTCATTAAGTAACAAAATCGGTCCGGTAGAAGTCTAGATTTAGTTGTACAAAGTTTAACAAAAATATATCTAATTCAGTATTTTCTCACCACTATAAATTTGGAGATCACTTAGATTATTGCCAATATCTTTTAAATGGAGGGGAAATCGACCAAAGTAGATGTGATATTCTGAAAGAGAATAAAATTTACTACAAATAACTACTATGCAATTCTTGAAAATACTTAATAAAGGCAGCCAAAAGCGGGCTACAAATAGAATCTTGAAAACAGAAACTTGAAAAACCCAGTTTTTAATGTATTTTTGTTATTTTTAATTTTTCACCACAAATATTTAATAAAATCACAATTTTATAATTATTTGCAAATCTACATGGGTTAGGCTTTCTAATGACCCATTAATTAACAAAATCGGTCCAGTAGAAGTCTAGATTTAGTTGTACAAAGTTTAACAAAAATATCCCAAACTCAATATTTTCTCATTACTATAAGTTCGGATGTTGCTTAGCTTTTTTGCAAACAACTTTTAAATGGTGAGGAAATCGACCAAAGTGGAAGGTGATATTCCGAAAGAGAATAAAATTTCCTACAAATTGATACCATACACTTCTTGGAAATATTCAAAAATGGCAGCTAAAAGTCGCGCCCAAATAAAAAGTGTGAAAAACACCGTTTTCAATGTATTTCTTATGGAAAACACATTTTCTTTAATTTATCACCACAAATCATAACAAAAACAAACTTTCATAATTATTTGCAAATCTGCACGACTTAAGCTTTCCAACGACCCATTAATTAATAAAATCGGTCCAGTAGAACTCTAGATTTAGTTGTACAAAGATTTTTAAAACTGAATTATATATAGAACTAGCTGACCCAGCGAACTTCGTATCGCCTAAGTTATAGGTTTCCCCTAAGACAGACCGATGGAAAGAAAGTACCGTTACGTTTAATTTTCAAGATGATCTCGTTCGCATCGCTCAATCACGTCCTGGTTGAAGTTCGTTCGCTACGCTCACTCACCTTTGGGTTGGAGCTCGTTCGCTACGCTCACTCACCTTTGGGTTGGAGCTCGTTCGCTACGCTCACTCACCTTTGGGTTGGAGCTCGTTCGCTGCGCTCACTTGCCTTCAGGTTAGCTCGTTCGCTACGCTCACTCGCCTCCAGGTTGAAGTTCGTTCGCTACGCTCACTCACCTTTTGGTTGCAAATTAGCTGTTGTCATAAATGTAAAAGAAATAATAGTGCTGCACCCTGTTGGTAATCCTTGTAACTTTAATGCTATTGAACATCATAGAACAGAACCAACTTGTTTAATTGAAACAGCTGTTAAGATTCATTAATTCCATTTCTCATAAGGTTAACATGGGAAACTCCAGAGCCACTGGGGCGGAGCCCTTTTAAGAATTTCGAAACGGGAAATAGTTTACGTCCGATTCGCATACCTACAGAATTTACACACCAAATTTCATAACGATCGGTGAAGTCGTTCCGGAGGAGTTTGCAGACAAACACTGTGACACGAGAATTTTATATATTAGATAGATTTAAACTTAACTTAAAATTAAACACTTAAAATGAAAAAAAAAATGGAAAAATGTTCTAAATTGAAGTTTTTTAAAAATCTTCAATTAAGTAAAAAGCCTTGTCAATCAGTAAATTATCTATTGTCTCTTTAAATTTGTTTTTTTTATGACTTATAGCATGGCGGAAGCACATTGTACAATCTTAGCCCATCGGCCAGCATACAATGGAGATTTTTCATATAGGGTCAAACGGTGTCTGGGGAGTCTAGATATATTTTTTTTATTTCGGGTTTCATACCTGTGGTTAAAATGTATTGTTTCTGGTAGCTAATTTTTAACTGAATGTATGTAATTTAATAATTCTAGAAAATACAACCCCGTTAATGTCTGAATTTTTAAATTTTGAAAATGTCTCTTTACAAGAACTGCAAGGATGAGAGTTGGTAATAATGCGAATAATACGTTTTTGTATCCTGAATATAATTTTAATACCAGTAGCTTGACCTCATAAAATTATGCCATATCTTAATACAGACTCCACATAAGCATGATAAACGACTTTAAGTATTAATAGAAGAAACACAGTCCCTTAAATGTATGAATAAAGATGACATCAACCTAATTTTGGTACCGGTATGTAAATAATTCAAATGTGAATCCCATTACGTTTGTCATCTACATAAACCCCTAAGAGTTTATGAGCTTCAACTAAATTAAAAGAACAGTTTTCCATGTTTTTGTATCTAGTAGAAAATTTAATAAAATTTGTTTTTTCAACATTAAATAACATATCTGCATTACAAACAGAACAACAACCCCTAGGATTGTTTCAATAAGCAATTCTATGAAGTTTTATTGTAAATAGAATAAAAAACTGCCTCATTTAATTAATAACTATTCTTACTGCAGTAAAAATTCTGTTAGCGAATCGGATATTTTGAGTTTGGACAGTTGGTGTTCTACTGTACACGTTTATTTTAAGTCCAGGAAAAAAAATTAATTTTTAAATGCAAAAAAATAATAACTGTACACACTTTTATATCTACTTCTGTAAGAGTCTGAGACCATCTGTAGCTCCCACGGTCTGCGCCATTGTATGTGTCACTGCTGATGTCATCATCACTACAACACATGGCAGAAACTTCAATTAGCATGAAGTTATCAATTAAGTTAAATTTCCAAAAGTTAAACTGTAACCCTTACACTCTTTTAGACTATTTTTAGGTTACATTAATCGGCCATCTGACAGCAGTCTTTTCCAGCAGCTTGGGTGAATTTCACATCTTTTGCGTTTGCTGCTCGGATGGTTAGTACTCAACATGCAGCACTGGGTAAGACCCCTTTTTTATACAAAATTATTGCTGAGTGGTGATAACTACTAGGCAGCTTTGAAAGTTAAATTATTCGGAACTTGTAGGAAGAAGCTGCCGAACTGATTACGAGAGTAAGATCGCCAATGTTAATGTCAAGTCAATCTGCAGAGATAGCTGATGTTGAAAAAATTCTGTGCTATTTATTTCAATGACGGCCAGCAGAAGTAACCAACCGAGCGCAAAAGGTTAAGATAACTGTTATTCTAGCTAAACATAAAAGCAAGGTATGAAAAATTACCGTAGTTGTTTCCAATAAAATGCCAAACTAACAGAGCCTTTTAAAATTTTGTATTACATAAGCTTAGAAATAAGTTAAATTGTGCTGCAGGTATTATGGTTCGGGTATAGTAGAATCCTAATACTAGGATGGAGTAAGTCCAAGTCCAAGTGTTGAAAATTTATATTAAATGTTGGCAAAAAATTGAGCTACCGGTATTGCAACGTTTTTTATGATCAAGAAGAACTCGACTTATCAACTATCGTGTTGCCATCTCTTTAAGTTCTACTAGTACTATTTTTTTATGAAGATGCGTCCCAAAAATATTTCCAATTCAAATGTCAGATACAAAATCTACACAAATAGAATCCATAACACCCAACAATTCTTTTAGTCTCATAAAAAAGTAATGTGTTGTGTGACGTACCAAACTTGCAGGTTTCTTGATATTTCCTGTTCGGTTGGCTGCACTGCCTCAATTGGCTCGGTCTCATAGTCGGTGGTAACTACTTCTTCCTCATGGATCACTACGTTGGCTAAACTGTTTTCCATACATGATCTGAAATTATTTATTAGGTACTCACATGACATTTGGAGATGAATTCAAAACATTTCTCTAAACATAATTAAAATTACCACGACAAAAATATTTTAAATGCCATCCAAACTAACTCACGAACACCTTACGTAAAAAGTTGTGTACCCTGACTGAAGTAGAAACTTTTAAACCTAGGTAGGTAGGAATATTGTTTTAGTTTAGGCCTCTATGGTTATTGATATTGAAACACTATTCACAATCCTCAAGAGATTTTACAATATGAAAAAAGAAATTCTTTGAATCGCATCGATGCATCGAATCAAAAAGAAAATGCTGCATCACGCACCCCTACTGATTAAAGAGAATCTTTATAGTAAAATTACAAAAATTTGTTAAATATTGTTCTTGATGATTGATAATATAATTCTTACACATTTCCGTTAGTAGCTGCTGCTATTTTCTGCCACTTCCTGAATGTGTCTCTGACAGCCAATTCTGCGACTCCAGGGAGGAATCCAATCTTGCCATCTTGGTTGTCTTTGACAAGATAAAAGTCAGTTCTGGAATCACCAAACACAACTGTGTAAAAAGTATGGTAAGATGAGTTTTGTTTAGCCTATCTTGTCTGATACAATCAAGACCCAAAACTCATTTGTAGGTTTAATGTAACAAAAAAAAACTGTAAATAACAGTGAAGAGCAGGGGTGCCCACAGGGGGGTTTGATGTCGCAAAATGCGACATCAGAAATTTATTTGGGGGGGATTTTATGATTTTGGGGGGGATTCAAGCCATTCAAGCCAGTGGTTGGTTGAAAGCATATAAAAGATTAATCAGATAATTTTTACGACCTCCTTAATTTATTACTGGGGTAATTATGAAATAAAAATCCCGTTTGACATTTTATCTTGATTAATAAATCATTTTATAATTGCTATAAAATATATAGATACTTTTATGTGGATTTCCACTTTCTGACTCGTATCATGTTTGACAGTGAGAACAATTCCATGCCAACTGCTGTCAAAGGATTATGGTTGGCTTATTAAATTGTATTTGCAATTTGAGATTGTTTTTACCTTTCATTATGAACTCATTCTCAAATAGCCTCATTGCCTTGAGGACCTATTGATGGTTTTTTAGGTTTGTTTATTATAATATATTCTTGATTCATAAAAAAACAGTATTATGATAATGATAATCATTTTGCTATTTTTACAACATGAACAACAACATGAAAGCTTGTGATAGTATTTTGGCTCTCCCAAATAATTATGCCTGGGTCATTTATTCATTGGAAGAAATTGACATACAGTACTGTGACATTTAATTAAGGTTTTTGATAGGCTATGAGTTTACGTTAACTTCAAGAACTGAAACACATGATTCTGGATTAATTAAATTGTATTTGTTATTGTCTTTTCTTGAATCTAGAAAGAGCTTCAAACAAATTTTACTAGTCTTAGAATAGATATATAATTATTTTTTTACGCCATACTACACTATTTTGACGAACTTCCCATGCAAGGATTTAGTCCATAAAACAGCTTTTTGTCCCTATTCAATGGGGTTTCATACAGTAGGCCTACTACTGTACTGTAATGAGTTTAGCTTGACACCAATCAGCTGATTATACTGTATTTGGGTGGCAATGAGTGGTTATAACAAAAATATAACCTCTGACTAGTGATTTTTAGTCCTTTAGTTGGTGGTAATACAGGGATTTGAACGGATTTAGTAGTATGGCGTAAACTATCGTACGTCACTCGTCCAAAATGTGTTGGCCGGACTCGTATAAAAAAGAAACACTACTCGACTTCGTCTCGCACGGGATTCAGGACTAGTAACGTAATATAATATTTTACCACACTATGATGTTTTTAACTGTTTTACATATAGCCTAGATAGGTACATTAATTGGTGGCTGAAAGTTACGTTTTGCAGGCCATGCTAGCTGTCATCGTCATTCGGGGATCGAGCAGGTTATTACATCCCTAGGGCCGCAAAATCAGCTGCCCGCTTTAAAAACACAATCAGTATCCATAGCATTGCAATAGAGTTGTTTTATTGTCACCGCTACCTAGCAACTATTTATTATTATTTTTTCTGATTCCTTGAATTATTTATCCACATGTCCTTAAAGTTGTAGTTGTGTTGACTATATCAGTCTGTAGTGCATTATCATTGAGGTGAATTAGTGGTAATAGGGTATAGTGTGGGGTGGTGAATAATAGCGTTCGTACCACGGACTGAAATGGTTTTGCAGTTCTCGATCGTTTTAAGTCCTCGACCTCGTATCAAACTTAAAAACTACCTCGAACCAGCAAAACCTCATTTTGGCCCTAGGCACAAAATATACTACCTATTATGTTCAGGCCTAGTCATATTTTTGAGGCTGAAAATTTTACACCTACAGGACCAAACTCAGAAGTGGATTGAAGGGCAATTTAGAAAATATCTCAAACTTTTTGACATAACTTTAAGTACTTTCTCCCCTAAATTTAATATGGTAAAAGAATTGTTTATGTAAAAAAACCCTGATCCCAAAAAAGTGGTTTTCGAAGTGATGCGTGTGTGTATGTGTGTATGTATGGTACAGAGCTACAGACCACGCCTGTAGCTGTTTGATGAAATTCGGTACCTATTTTAAGTACCAATCCATGGTCTCTCCAGATGTTTTTTTTTCATTTTGGATTTTTAATAGTAATATTTCATAAAAACCTATAAAATAATGGATGAATAAAATTTTCTCAGAACTGGCCCGAACGATTTTGATTAATAATTAACATGTTGTACTCTTTGACTACAGGTATGACAAAAATTGTATAAACCCTCTATGCCGTAAAAATTATGGTTCAAAAGTTATTGCAACTTTGTGATTTTCCCTTTTAAAACCTATTAATTCATGGAAAATCGGATTAAAAAGAAAACTACATGGCCAATTTTGATTCAAATTGTGTGCATGTTAAAAATCCAACTCATTTAAATTAAAACTAAACTAACAAATAGTTTGCTACTAGAGTTTTAAAGGAAAATTGTCCATTTAAATTGGGTTAAAAGTTTGATTCAAACGCTTAAATTCCCATAAATTTTAAGAAGTGTCGGGGGCACCCCTTCCCTACCCGCATTATAAACATAACTATGGGTTAGCCCCCAGACCTTAGGCATGGGTTAAACAACAAATTTGGGGGGGATTCTGCGACGTGAGCTTTGGGGGGGATGGGCACCTCTGGTGAAGAGTAGGTATTTATCAACAGATAAGTTATTTGTCGTAATTTGAACAGTAATACAAACTGTTGGACTATTACATTAACCTAAAATAAAAAAATAGTATAGTCTAGGTGAAATATTGTAATGAAAACACAATACTTAAGTTATTTGTAGGAGTAAGGCACTAAGGCCAACTTGAAAAGTTTATTTAAATTTCTTTATTGAACCATGATCAATCATAGGCCCTACTCATTATATGTTTGTGTGGAGATGAATAGTTTTGTTTAGATGTTGAATCACTTCTAGCCTGTAACAGTAGAATTTTTAATATGGTAGGTCTACATGTTAGGCCTACCGTTGAAGCCACCAATTTATACCCAACCTTACTATTGACAAATTTGATGATTTATTGATATGCTGGGAACTGGTGCAGCATGGCTGAAGGGGCTGTTGTGAGATGGCTTCTAGCCTGCTACTTAAGTTAGCGTGAATAGCCTAGATTACTCAATAGAATACTGTTTTCTTCGGGTTATGTTTACATAAGATGTTTTATAATGTAACTTAGTTCTTATCTAAGTAAAGTACAATAATAAAAAAAACAATGAACAAAAAACAATATCTAATAAATATATTGTTTTTGAGAGACTTTGTAACTATATCTATTTGTGCAAGACCTAGGTTTTTAAGCGGAGTAAGTTTAACTTGGGCTATACAGGTCTAGTCTACATGAATTCTTGTTCAAACCAATTCCTTCAAATGACAATTATAGGCCTACACCATAAAAAAAACCTTTAGTCTATCAAATTGTCCTCGGAAGTATTTTAAAATTTAAACTGTTTCAACCCCTTCTTCACATTTTGATAGATCCAGTAGCCTATTTGTTTATTTTTTATTCACAAAAATAATTTTTTCCTCCTGTTCAATACAATTAACTTAACTTAGAATCCCTGTTTTCCGGTCTTGGTTTAACCGGTCCCTGGTTTATCTGGCCCCTTCCAGGAAGTCAATATCAAAATTTGTTACTCACGGCTTACAGACGTGTAGTTACAAGCAAGACTAACTTAAGTTAGTCTTCATGACATGAACGTTATCACAATGTATCTGTTCGTTTACATTTGACTGTACGGAAAGTAAATAAAAGATACGTCTTATAACACTCAAAACATATTTACGCTTATAGTGCTACTCACAAGACGGTTAATATCCAGGGTATTTCTCCAGTCTATACCAGCTCACATCCGAAAAGAAACCAAATTTAATAAATTCAAGCAGCTCTTAAAGGAATATTTTTTAAGAACTCCCTGCTACTCAGTAACAGAATTCTTTAGTATTAGTAAAAAACAGTTAGGCCTAACTTAATTTGAATTCCAAATACTGTAATCCTTAAAGTCATGGTTTTGTTAAAAGTTAAAGTAAAGTAATTTTAGTACTCTTTTTATGTATTTAATTAGCAGTAAGCAATTTTGAATTTAGCTCATGACTCTATTCAAGTTCATGTAATGTGAAACTATAATGAATAAAGAATGTTTTGACTTGACTTTGACTTTGAATATACAAAAAAGTTGGTAAGTGGTGATCGATTTCAATTGGACACTCCAATCATCATCAGACCCAATAGGCAAATGACATTCGCCTCATTTGTCATTCGCAAATGAATCATTTGTCATTCCCCTATTGATCAGACCCAATAGGCAAATGGATGACAAATGATGATGAAGCCGTTTGAATAAACGGCCAGAGGCTACGGCGTGTGGTAGCTGGTTATGAGGGTTCTATAAAGATGGTTCAACATTCAATACTGAACTCCCCTCAACGCTGTTAAGCAATGTATTTGTCAGCTAGAGATGTTATAGCAACGTGGGTTTAGGCTGAAAGACCAAGGCCTTAGGGCTGGAGTCATTAAGGAATACTAACTTGAAATAGGGATGTTGTGATGACACTGTCTTTACAATATTTGGTTTAATATATTAAAGTTCTTGAATGAATAGTGAATCATAATTTACTCGAACCACATATCATCAGACAAGCAAGACAAAAATTAAATAATTTGTGTGAAATTCTGTTTCTTTTTTGGGTCACTAATGCTCCAGCCTCAGAAAACATCAGCTCAGAAGCTCATAAGCGTGACCATTTGACTCAGATATTTCTTTCCGATACGATACTGGCCTCTTGGTATCGATAGGCTACCAAGTAAATATGAGAACAACCGATACCGATACAATACCAGCAGTATCGCAATAAAAGTATCGATAAGATTACCAGAAGCCTACACAAAACAAACAACAAGAGACACCAAGGTTTTGGTAATCCTTGGCTAGGCCTACACTTACTTGTATTTTTCTTTACTTTCTCAGTCTTTCACTAAGTTGCAAACTGAACAGTGGTAAAAACTAAAATTATTATGATCATGATCCTAAAAGCTATTTTAATATAAATTCTTACCTCCTGTATAAAAAGCCAAACACGGAATTTAAAAATGGTAAAATCTGTCCTTCTTCTTTTAAAACATTCAAAAAAAGTTCGTCGTGTTTATCTTCTCTACTCATTTGGACAACTTAGTTTAGTTTATTATCGGGTTAACACAAACACATTGAACACGATTTAAATATTTCAAATAAACAATACAAAATGAAAGAACTTATCGTTTGTTTGGATTTTTATCAACTGTATTTTTATTTTGGTATAAAAGTAAGGAGTAAGGAGTAAGGACCGAGACCGACTCACTGACTGACAACGACAACAGTAACAGTCGACAGGACAGCTGGGAGTAGTGGGAGTGGGAGAAATTTCGGGTGGGTTCCATAATATCGACAACCGTAGAAATTGATCGAAACTGAATTATTCCCAGTTTGTCGACACTGGAATATTCCCACTTAACCGACATCCCAAATAACCGACGTCGCAAATGATCGACACCACAAATTGTCGACATCCCATATTGTCGACAATGAAATAGTTTCACTATGTCGACACTGAAATAGTCCCAGTATATCGACAAGCTCCCGTTCTTCGGAGCTACTCTTGAAAAGGAGTTGTTCTAATTCATCGTTCAGTTCCTCAACTCACGAGTCGTAATATTTAATTCCGAATTCCGACGCCCCGACGGACAATGAATAATGAATGATAAGCTGGCCATTTTGACTAAGCATTAAGTTATTATTAACCTAACTTTTATATTGTAAATATTTATCTTTTTTATTTCTTTCCTTGCTTACAGGAAAATTGGTGACTCGTGTGTTACAAACAATAGTTTTTAAGGGAAAAAATGTGAAATAATTTGTATAGGTAGGTTATGTAGGCTAATCAACATGATAACAGACACTTTAGGTAAGTCACCAACAAGAAGGTAAAGTAAGACACCAACACAACAAGAACTTAAGATACAGCTTATTCGTAGGCTAATTCTGAATCATCAAGCAATATTGTAGCAAATGTTTGAATAGGCATATCCCTAGGCTATTAGGATTGTCTCTTATTCCCATTGACCCAGGGTCAACTTTAAGAATTTGTTTATGTAAAAATATTCGGCTGCGCTTTAGTTTATGTCCTTTATTCATTCAAATGAAAGATAATACATTAGTTAGACTATTTAATATTTTGAATATTTCATTCCGTTAGTTAGGTTAGGTTTCACCCTAACATTATCCAAAATTGATATAGGCCTAAGTTTATCGAATGAAATAATCAATATGACTGGGACGGGTGGCGTCGTCCTGTAATCCAGCTACTAGGAGGTCACGAATTGTGGATATTTATAGGCATGCACTGTGGATGCGATACTCCCTGGTGTGGATTAACGTCCGCTTGAGTGAGTACTACGACTATCCGCAGTACTATCCAGATAATTAGACCAATTCGTATATAGACCAAGGCAATAATGTTGTTCAGATTCCACTATAAACTGTAGGTCCCTTAGTTGCCATTAGCTGTATGGGCTATTAATTAACAGCTGTGTCTAAGGAATGTCGGCCTTAGTCACTAACAAGACTACAAGATCGCGCCACTCATCCTGATCCTACACTCATTTCCATTCGTACCGTAAAATGGGGTGAATAGAAACAACAGGGTGAATAGAAACAAAACTTCAATGAATGATTCACATTTTTATAACTTTGTTATACATTGACTTTATATAAGGGAATTATTTTACCCCATTATAACCATATCCTATCTACCTGGGAAAAATTATTTCAGCATATTGGTATCACTACTTCGGATGTTGGATGAAGCGAAACCTCATTTGAAAATTTTGGCGAAAAACAATCTTTTCAAAACTTTCTCTTTAAGTATGAACCTATTACATGTATTTATGTTAATAACCATTTTTTATATTGTCTTAGGTATCTTAAAACCAAGTGTGTTAATAGATTAGCCTTAGAATAAACTATATTTTTTTACTTTATTTTTATTTTGGGTTATGTCATGATTTTGCAAAACCAGGGTAAATAGAAACACTTTTTTAACCAGTGGTGCAAATAAAGGTGGACCTGAAAACCCCCCAAAAAAGAAAAAAATTACCAGAGATGAAGATGATTCCACATCAGTCACACTTCTCACTGGAAGAAAGTGACAAAGACGAACAATTTTATGAAGAAGAACCAGCATACCTAGCTCAAGACACCAGTGAGTCTTCAAAGTTGTCCCTTCATGATCATGTAATTGTCAAAGTAATGGGGGAAAACAAAACTTACTATCGTTTATATGTTGCAAAAGTTATTGAATTTGACGAGGAAGGATAAATAGGAAGATTCATCAAGAAAATTGCGCAAACCAACAAGTTCTGAGGGACAGATTAAGAGGCCCTCTTCAAAGTCGATGACGTAGTACGTCGGCTTCCAACTCCCAAGCCGTGTACAACTTGTAGATTTAAGGGAGTGTTGTATTTTGAGGAAGTTTTGTCTGATTTTACTCTTCATTTAGTTGGTTTCTATGTAAAATTTTGTAACTCTGATTTCACCCATGGTCATTTATGTTCTCCGATTTGTTTGGATAAGAGTTTATGAAAACGATGTTTTTATACTTCGTACTTATAAATAAATGTGTTAATTAACTTTAAATATTTTTATTTACAACAACGTAAGCTAACAAGCATAAATTTCATGTTTCTGTTGCCCCTGGTAAGTGGGGAAAAGCAACACTCATCAATTTAACACAGTGTTTCTATTCACCCCAAAGTGCAGGGTGAATAGAAACAGCCATATTTTATTTTTTTTCTGCTTAATGATTAAAAAGAAAAAAAAATTGATAACTGGTTTGAGTAGAGGAGTCCAAGACCGGAAATATGAGCTAGTATTGAAAATTTAAAAATTAAAAATATCGTTTTTACAGAAGCTTAAAAGTCAAAAAGTGTTTCTATTCACCCCATTCTACGGTACTTGGCTTAAAATACCTACTTTGTAGGCTATGGTCGCCAAGTAATAAGAAAGAAAGTATTAAAGAAATATATTCATTGGAATGAGTGTATGACGTAAACTTAAGTGCTGTAAAATATTCTAGAGCTGTTTGTATTTGGTGTAAGACTAGACTTGGATTATATCATTCATTGCTGATGACATCAATGTTAATTTTATAGATGATCCTCGAGCAAAGGCTGTAATTTGACCTGAACCCAAATTGGTCTCTATTTTAAATATTGTCTTGAACCAATAAGTTAAGAGGACTAACCTTTCTGGAAGAGATTGCCATCGACATCACAGCAGATGAGAGAGAAAGAGAGACCAGAGTTGTGGACCCTGGAGGCAATTACCATACTGCCGTGATAATGTTCCGTGGTCTAACCATAACTTAAGTGAGGTGAGTCAACATTCTTTCCCCTTTGTGATAGATTCTAGGCTTATGTTTGTTAACACGTTCGCTGCGGCACGTCAAATAGCGGGCGTATCCCCAGTGCGGCGCAGCCCTCAGCGTCGAGTAAACCCGATGGCCGCGTGTGATTGGCCTTTTCAATTTTGGTGTGACGAATAGCAAATAACGTGAGGGGATGTCCTGCTTTACAACGAGAGTCGATGTAGTTCGCTAAACACCCACAGATAGCAGCACTGCTTGGAACGTAGCCGGTCCCATTGGAATTGTATTGCCAAATGGAGGGAAAAAGACGGGACAAAAAGAAGACTTTTGAGATTGCCAGGCGGGAATTTTACGGGGAAATTTACTACCAACCTACACCACAACAAAATGCAAGTCACATACTACACGCTAACGTCGTATAGGTCCGCTTTCGGCCGACGCTAGAGCAAAAACGAAGATATACAAAAGGCATTACCGAGCGTTCCCGATGGGGTACGGACGCACCGTACGGGGGCCAAGCGCCGTACCCGATCGGGAACGGCCGCACTCTACGTGTTAACTAAGTTATTCAAAGTTCAAATCGGTACTTTGGTAAGTGTTATCCGGAGGCTACAGATAGGCTATACAGCGCTTTGTGGCGGTTATGTTAGGTTGGATTATCATAAATGGAAAGAACATTTTTATGTCCTAGGCCTACTGTCCGTATTTGGGTGGGTTCCATATTATCGACAACCATAGACACTGATCCAAACTGAATCATTTGCATTTTGTGTTGAACAGAGTTTGAACAACTAATTATTTATATGTTTTATGGTAACTGTAGGGAAAATATAATGTGTAACACAAGTGCAAACTGCCATTGCTGCACTCGACAAACTTTCCACACTCGCCTACGGCTCGTGCGTAAACATTTCTCTCATGTGTAGCAAAGTGCCACTTCGCCCACTAGTTACCTACACAAATAAACTATTATTAATAGTTTTTGGTGGAACATAAGGATAATTAATCTTTATGCAAATTTATAGTTTTTTTATAAACATTCAAAACTAGGCCCCTACTTAAAATGCATTTGGATTACATCTCGAAACATGTTGTTTGGAAATGTCTTAATTAGGCTAGAGCTTGCATTTTTGCAAATTGGGAAATAACAAAGAATTAATGTTGAACACGTTCGCTACCGAGCGACGCTCATATGCGTCGGTCGGTTCACTCCTACAGACCAAAAGGAATGATCATGACGTTGCTTACAGACCAAGTGATATAGGAATAACATTGCCAACAGACCAAAAGAGAAATATCGTTTAAATGGACTAATTGACTTCATATTGACCTTAAGTGAATTAGTAAGCAATAGGCTAAATATTGTTTTTATTTATCGTATTGAGCAAATTTTAAAACGCCGCATACATGCGTCGATCAGTCTATTTAATAAAATCCAGATAAAAAGATTCTACATTTTCGTTTCAATAGACCAGGCAACGCACGTTAAAGCGTCGTTGTAAATTTGGTTGTTTCAAGCTTTTACTCAAACAAATAAAGAAACTCCAAACACTCGCCAAAAGTGCAAAGGTTATAACGTTTACATCTGTTCTGAGATGTCGCGGAATGCACAATGTAAACAACAATGTTGCCAACTGTTGTGTGACGTAACCAATCGTCATATCCACAGACCAAGCGACGCACATTCGCGGCAGATATCCCTCTAGACTGATACGATAAAATCAGGGCTTTAAAATAGACCGTTGCTAAGAAATACGCTGATTAATAACATTGAACACCGACGCAAGTGTGTGTCGTTAGTCTATTTCAATATGATCAGCAACGCAAATATGCGTCGGTGGTCTATTGTGAGAAACGAGTCGACGCGCAATTGCGTCGCTGGTCTATGCGAACGTAAATTTTATATAATTGTGGTAGCGAACGTGTTAAACCAATTTATTTTGTCTAAACCAAATTATTGTTACAAATTATAATATTTGTACTAACTTGACCCAGATTTGCTCAAACATTTTCCTATTAGCTGTACCTATTTGAATATCACAAATATAGAAAGGAGTGTACAGACTTGTATTATTTGTTGGACTCAAAGTATTTGTATAACACTATTTTTTGCAATATTTCTGTACAGAACTGAAGCCTACCAGTAAAATGGGGGCGTTGTAATTAATATCCTCCGACATTGGAGAATACAGGGGAGAGGTGTCAGAGGAAGAGAAGATGGAGGTTGGGGCGAAGTAAAGACTAAGATTGAAGAGAACTAACTAATGGTAAGTTTTGCCATTTACTTAAATTTAATTCTTATACTCGTAAATCCAGGGCCGTGTCCCCAAGCCTATGTCGCATAATCCTCCTGAATTACTAGTATTTAACCAACATTTTAACTGGAGATGTGCCCAAAAATTTGCTTTTGTTTTTTAGGAAATGTAGGCTATATTTTACGACTACCCGCTGGTAGTCGTAAATTTCGATCACGCAATCTTTGCAGATGTTTTCGGCTATCATGAGAAAACAAGACAAACTTGGATTATTGTACCCCCTAATTCTAACAGATTGTGGGAATATTTTCCAAGAGAAAAAGCATTCTTTTGAGGCCCCAAGTGAGTCCCCTTCCCAGGCCGAAGCCCTTGGCAATCGCAGTGTCCACCGTTAGGGGAATACGGCCCTGATTTGGAGGCCTATGTTGGTGTGGGGCCTGGTGCAAACCCCCCCCCCCCCTCAGTACGCCACTGATTACATTAAATAATGATAGAAGTATGCATAAAAAGATTCTTGTTCTGTTCAGAATACTGTTTTTAATATTAATTTTTGTTCTGTTATATCCAGGCCTGATGACAGGGTGGATGGCGATGGAGGCATGGAGGTTGGGGGAGAGGAGGCTGAAGAAGTGGAGACAAATCAGTTTAGATCCATTATGTTGATTAGTTTAACATTTATTTTGAACATCAGTATTTAAATTTTTTTCTCATTTAGATTATTAAATTAAGATAATTTTATTGTTTTTATGAAGATGTTTTCTTACATTTTTAATATTTGTTTGTACTTCTGCCTGGTAAAAAAATACTGTTTTCCTACAGTTACCTAACAATGTACATGTTCTCTCACTGATTTGAGAAAGCAAAGTGGCCAATTCGCTCATCAGTGAGACAATGTTAACATTGTCTCACTCTAATTACTTTGTCTCACTCCAGATTTGCAACGTGAAGGCACAAAATAGTGAGCGCGTAACATGCAGACAAGGTCGTATGTGCGCGAAATACGTTGGCAGCACTGGCTGTAAATCAGCTGGTCAGCTGTTTTACTGTTGTATCATTAAATGTCATAAGTTCACTTCTGTGTAAAAATATGTTACGTTTCTTTACCAATTTATTTGTTTTATGGTAACTGTAGGAAAAATATAATGTGCAGCTCGAGTGCAAAGTGCAATTGCCTCACTCGAGAAAACATTCCTCACTCGCCTACGGCTCGTGAGTAAGTATTTCTCTCGAGTGAGTCAATTTATCACTTTGCTCACTAGTTGCACAAATAACTATTATTATCTTTGTTAAAATGATTACTTTCACTAACTGACCTTGTCTTGGGTAAAAAGAGATATCTTGATATTTAACTAGCAGGGTGCCTGTTCTATGGGCGGGGATTGTATAAGTCAGTAGAAACCTTCTTATATTTCGATACTTGGTAAATTAATCATTTCCAACTTTATATAGTATAGATCGCTATTCCTGTATTGATGTACTGAAATGAATAAAATTATATGAAATGAAATGTTGTTTTTTTTATATATTTTGATGACACACTATTAAAAAGGCATAGCAATATTCTAAAGTTTATAACAGCTTATGTTTGTGTTTTTATTAATGATTTATTGTGACTTTTGAGTGATTGAAGGATTTGTGATTTGGTTTTAAGGAGATTGATGTACCTAATTTTGTATCTATACTTATTAAATAGGTACGCAAGCAGGATTATGTGACAATTACTTCTCCGAAATTACTGAACCGATTGACATGTTTTTGGTGTCATTGGAAAGAGCATAACGTGAAGTTGTGCAAGAAACTTTCTTTTTAGGGAAATAATTAGAGAGTGAGGACCTGTGGCCCTTTAAAGTTTCGTATTTCTCCATAAGATTAACATGGGAAACAAATATTGTTATGAAACTCCAGCTGTTGTCAGAAATTTAAAGTGAGAAGAAGAACATATGTTAATTGTAAAATTGTGACAGAGAGGTTATGCAGAAAATCAGGTAGTTAATGGTTATTTGGTGCTATTAAAATAAAGACTGAAATTTGTAAACGTACTGGCGACAATGGGTGATACCACGCAAACTACATTATCATTGACAAAGACCAACATGGACAACCTATTGTGGCTATAAGTGGGAAACATTTCTACAACACACTAAAAGCCTATGGTGGAAGGAAAAAACATAGGTGTGCTATTCCCGTCATATTCTGACGTCACTTGGATTGCAAACAAAAGATCACCTGATTGTAACTGTCAAATAAGTATGTAATTGTTTTGATTTGATTGTTAATGTTTTTTTATAAAAACATACATTATAAAAACAATAACAACCAAATCAAAACAAATACATATACTAATTTGACAGTTATAATCAGGTGATCTTTTGTTTGCAATCCAAGTGACATCAGAATATGACGGGAATAGCACACCTAGGTTTTTTTCCTTCCACCATGCTAAAACCAGATCAGCTTTTGAAACATGATAAAATATTTACAAGAAATGTTGATTATGTTGAACTGGTAAGTTACATTGTGAGTATTATCATTAGTTACGTAATCTTTGAGTTGACTCTTTTAGACTCATCGGAATTTAATTATATTTGTTCTTAAACAAGTTATTTGTTTTTAAATAACTCCTTTATGTACTTCTTTGCGATTGCTCGATTTCAAGCAACATATACCTAGTTCAATTTATGGGTCAACTTTTTTTTATAAGAACCGGGTTTCGTTATTCATGTAACTTTTGGAACACTTTTTATTATAGTATCCATAATAGGAGTAAAAAAATTAAACATAACTAGAAAACACCAGGTAGGATTCGAATCAGCTGCTTGATATTGACATTTTGTGGACATTGTGTGACTATTTTTATATATATTTCAATCTACTGATGAGGGAATTAAATTAACAACAATTTATTTAGTATAAAAAGTATAGTTGACTTCCAATTGAAAGGTTTATTATAATAAAATAACTGGATTTGTAATAAAACAACTATTATTATAATAAAAAGCTAGTGACATCATTTTTTATGTTTATGAACCATACCGTTTCTGTTCTAATATCGGTGATAACAGTTACAGTAATTCCTTTTACCTACGACCTTTTTTAAAATAGCCGTTTCAGTTAAGTCCTTTAATAAGTCAACAGCTGATCTTGTGTCTTTGTTTTTGTGTCAAATACTGCGTCCATAAAGATTACATACAAATTTTTAGAGCCAGTGGGGGGGATTCCTTAGAGAGTTTTTTTAACGCCATATAGTTGTTAGCACTCACCGATATATGGTCTTTATCACTATGCAAAATTTGAAAATGATTACTTCAGCCGTCTAGGAGGAGATTGCATATTATGAAATGCATAAGAGTCGACGCATAAGAGCTTCGCTCAATGAGTTATAAGATTTTTGATTTTTTTTAACATAGGGTAGGTAAGGTGTTTATATATTTCCAGCACAAAGAACCATTTTGAACAATATTTTTGAAGATTTTCAGTGTTTGTTCTTGTGTCTGATTAACATGGATATGGATGTCACTGAAATAGCCACCCTGGAAAATACATCACACAAACTGACCTTGTGAAAATAGGGTCAGGAAAGAAAAAAACCTGTCATTGTTAGTGTCAGCCCGGTTTTCTGGCTAGTCAAACTAGCCTATAACTGAATAAGTTACACACACTTACCATGGTTGGAATATGCAGGCAACCTTGTGTTTGCATTGAACAGTGTGACAGAACAAAAACCAATAATTTTGTGGTAATGCAAACATCTATACAGTAATGAGAATTGAATTGAGAATCAAAGATTCATAATTATAATTAATAATTCAGTAATAGAGTAAACAAACAAACAATAAATGTTCATAAATAAAATTAGAGTTTTGTCTGTAAATTGCTCAGAATTATATATTAAAACCTTTTTATTAGCTCGCTTTCTTGTCTGGTACAAATTTTGCAATCAATTTTATACTAAGTTCCCAATGAGCTATAGAGACTTGAAACTTGAAACATAGCTCACAAATGGATGACAATGCAATATTATTTAATTTTCATATTTCCCTTGTGCTACGCCCCATGGGCATGGGCTTGTTTTTATTAGCTCGGTAGTCACTTTCCTACAAATTTTGATATTAATTTTAATTAAACAAAGTTCCCGATGAGCTAGAGACTTTAAATTTGAAACATAGCTCCCCAAATGGATGACAATGCAATATTATATCATTTAATTTCACATTTCCCTTGGTCTACGCCCCATGGCCTTCCAAATTTTCCATGTTTACATTTTGAAAGAATGTAAATATATCAATTAATTTAAGTCATCTGTATTTTTTTTTTTAAATACTAAATAATATAATTCACAATTTTGATATGGAAAAATAATAAAACATTTGCTATTTAAATTAATAAATAACTGGTACTCCAGCCCCATCTTCAAACTCTCTAAGGGTCCTCCACTTCTTCCTTGTCCTCCTTAGACACATGCTGCTGGCCCTTAACGTCGCACAAAAAGGTTTCTTCCATTTTTCTGTTAGGCGTTCTGCCATTGCTCTGAGCAAGGTCGAAACTCTTTGCCCAGCATTACGTCCACAGACGTGACTAGTGGGGTAGAAGATGCATTTCTGGTTTCTGTTATTGTTAAATATTATTTGCTCTTCTCTCTTTCTGCATTCTCCAACACTTTTTTGTATGGGAGGTTCAAGTACGATGGAGCATCAGTGTCAACGACATGTACATCGAATAATGCTTCCGTCTGAACCTCCCATACACCCCTACAAGCCAAGTCTGCTTTTAGTGCTGCAGTATCAAATGACCCTTGCTCAGAGATCATTGGTTCTCGAACACAGTTTCCCCATGCTAGCTCCATCAAGCTTCCAAGGGTATCCCTTACCTCATTATGTCTTCTTATTATCAAACCACCTGTACAACATTTAAGGGGATGTTCCATATTGAAGTTTTTGCCACAGCCATCATATGAAGAGTGGAGGTGTATAGGAGTTTTCCCATATATCTTAATGCAAGAGCATCTCTGAACTCCAGTGGAGAAAGATCTAAGTTAAGTTTTTTCAGAGGAATGCATGACAGCCATCCACTGTGTTTCGCTTTAGTATTTGCTCCTCGCAAGATAATTTTTTGTTGTTTTAGAGGAAAATTTTGAATAGTCAATTTCAAAATGTTTTCTTCTCCTAATCTTCTCTCCTCTTTCAAGTCCTTTTTTGTGATAATCAAATGTTCTTCATGTTCTTGCATTCTTATTTTCCTCTTAGTTTTTAGGGAGTCTATGATGAATTTACAACATCTCTTTGAAGCTCGGAACAATGCTTTTCCCTGAGCGGTAGGATCCACTAAACCAATTCCTCCATTTTTTACTTGCAAATGTAATATTTTTTGTTCATCTTGGTTTAGGTGAGAGCCAAATAAAGCAGGAAATAGGTTTTGTTCTATTGAGTTTTTTACTGGATGAAAATTAATGTCTTCACTTTCAACAACTCTTTGAAAAAAAATCCATTTAGCTTGTATTGATTTTGTGGCAACAGTGTGTTCAGATTGTGGGTATTTTTCAGCTACATTCACCAGACTTACCAAATGACTATTCCACTTTTCTACCCTCTTTTTAATAAAGACATCTTTTTCAGTTTTGTCACATCCAATAAATCCTCCTAAAATAACTACTCCCAGTAACAACCTCTCATCCTGATATGTTGGATAGGTCTAATGTTGATGGTTCAGATCCAACAATCAAACAGGTTTTGTGAGCTTGTGGGTAGTAACCATATTTAGGCCCCATTTCTTGTAATTTCTCTCACCATTTCATCACATTATAAAGTTTTTCTTGACATGATGGGTCATCCGCATGCCATACTTGGTTTGTATCTGTGATGTTTTTTAATTCATTAATTAACGGCAAAGTGGCTAATCCATATAATATCATGGATAATGGGTAATGGGATAATGGAAACTTTTGAGATTTTACCTATTAAATAGGCCTACCACTATCATCGCTTATTTACCTATGATAAAGGTTGTTGACAAGCTAATGGGAGAAAGTATGTGTCAAATTGCTGATACCGTTTATTTTGCATTTATGAGAACAGCTCATTTGAACTAAGCAGCAAAAAAAACTGTGATAGTAATGAGAAATGTCAAAGTAGGATTGTGTTATCTTTGCGTTTCTAATTTCATGAATAATTTGTGATATTTTGTGGATTTTTATAATTTTTTTTCTCTATTGTTTAGGTGAAGTGGTAGAACATAATGGCTATGTTTATGTAAACTGTAAATTTAAAGAAGCAAATTTTATCAAACTGTGTCCTCCCCATTGCATACGCAAAGCTTGAGTATAACTCTTGATTATAGTCTATACTCCTTTTATCTATGGTATAACTACAATAAGCATTTTATACTTATATGCCAACCCCATAAGAAGGACGGGTACTCTGCTAGTAGATTGGTATATTTATAGTTAGTAGGTAGGCCATACATTCAATCTAATACATAATTATATGAAAAGAAACTCAAATAAACCTTAGA